TGAGGTGCCATAGTGGGGTGGGTGTGGGGGGGGGGGGGGGGGGGGGGGGAGAGAAGAGCAAAGGGAAAAACTTCTATCAGTTATATGCCCAAAGAAACCATATAGGAAGTTTGTGCATAGATACTTCAAGAGTGGTGTACTCCCTAGTAACAAATTAAAAGCTACTAATGACATTGATATGATATCAAGCAATGCTAGAAGCTCCTTTAGGCAAATTTAAAGAAAAAGAAACATCCCACTTCAATTCAAAAGCATGCACACAGAACTAAGTAAAAGAGCGGAGAGCTGGGAAGGGGTCAAAAAACCCAGAAAAACAGCATGTGCAGTATTCTGCTCCTCTCACCTTTCTACTGTTGTTTGATTGTCTAGCTGATCTTGATTCAGTTTGTATTCAGGATTCTCAGTAACTGGTTTTGTAATACTTTCGAGGATATCATCTCCCTGTTCTGCTGCTAACCTGATATCCTCCTACAAAACAAAACAAAAACCACACACACACTGTAGTTATATGTTGTTGGTTTTTCATAGAATCATAGAATAGTTAGGGTTGGAAAGGACCTTAAGATCATCTAGTTCCAACCCCCCTGCCATGAGCAGGGACACCACACACTAAAAGCACACTTCGTAAAACAAAATCCTTTTTCCAGTTTGAAGCCTTAACAGCAGCAGAGCAAGCATAGTTTGATTAAAAGCAGTGCTTAACAACAAATACAAACAGTAAATACTAAATGTAATTTTTTTTCTATGTTTACCATCTTAAGATCCCAATATAACCTAGTTTAATTTTCATGATATATAGCCTTCTAGTGTCTCCTTAGGCTCCAAATATCTCGTAAGTTTTAGATATACAGCTTTGAACCCCCCCAAACAGGTTTAATTTAAGCTGATTTGAAAGAACATTTGTCCATTTTTCAAAATGTCACATATTTTCATATGTGCATGCAAATACAATCAAATTTCTTGTTGCAAACAAAAATGTGTATCAAACACACTGCTACTTACAAAGGAATTTCTGATTCACATACAAGTCATTATGCATTTGCACAAACATAAACTTAGCCTCAAGAAATGCCATTTTTGAATGCAAGGATATTTAACATCAAACCAAGCAAAACAAACTCAATTAGACTTCAGTGTTTCACATTGTCTGTTAAGATCCCCTAAATTTTCTATTAACATTATTAGCTATACATTAAAACACAGTTTAACTAGAAAATAGCATTTTTACAAAAATTACATACCTTCATTTTGTCCTTCTTTTCTGTGTGTGTTGCAAGAAGGGAGCTGGTTGATTGCACATCATTTGGTAGTTCTGTTTCAGCCAGCTCAGTCCCAAAGGACTGAAGAATCTGAGCTGTTTGCTTAACCTTTTGGGCAAAACCTTCTATAGCCTTTTGGAATAAAAATCATTAAAGATGTTTCATTGCTCATCACATACATATATACAAACACACACATACATACAAAATGTAACTTTCAAAACAAACCCAAGCAGATGAATTACAAGAAAAATGGTCAAAGTATAGTTTTGCAAGCAACAGATACCGTCACCATTAATTCCTTAATTGTATATTTTTCCTAGGCTTGTATCAGGTATTTCTTCCTCATACTTTTATAATCTGGAGTTATTTTACAACTTGAGCTTTTTCCTTCTTGTAGCAAAACCAATAAACCTCAACACAATAATATACTGTAATTCCTTTGCTCCAAGTGTTCAGAAAACCACTCCCAAATTATTACTCATATTATTTCTCTAAGATGACTAAGTACCATTGGGAACATCTTCTCACTCCGAGCAAGTCAACTTGCATCACTTGGAATCTGTTTTACAAATGACAGGGTATAAACCAGAACATTAAACTGAAAAGTTATAATAACAACTAAGACTTACAGTGCGACGGGACAGCCATCTGTTATGGCAGTAATCCAGGGTGCCACCAAGATCTTCTGTTAATTGTGTTTTATCAATGTAACCCTGCAGTTCTGATACTGAGCCCAGCATTATGATCTGCAGCAGCAAAGTGAAAAAGGGAATGTGGTGAGAAGTCTCTTGTTAAGGATTCTAAGCCCCATCCTTCGGCCTCCAATAGAGAAAATTCAGTTCAGTGCAGAAGCAAGTGATGGAACTATTTTCTTTGGGTACAGAAAAATAAACTTAACAGTTGTTTCAGTTGAAGATGAAGGTAAAAGTAAAAACCTGCATATGAGCATGAGCACCAGGCAGATTTAAAAAAGCTTATGGATTATAAAACATGAATTACACCATCAGATTTTTTTTTATCTTGATAAACCATACATAGCTATTTTCTAAAAGCAATATTCATTTCTTGTTCATTTTCCCTTGTTATCCGGGGCCTGTGGAAGAGAACAACAGTATCTCCAGTGGTTTGGCATGTAAAGACTGTTTCCCCAAAATAAACAAGGGGTGGGGGAAAATTATCTTAAAGATTATCTTTCACCCTTGAAGTTTACATACAATAAGTAAAATAACTTGTATATTTTTAACTCGTATAGTTTCAGAGTTTACTTTAAACTACAAACACTGTACATTTACAAACAAAAGTATTACCAGTGGGTTTACTGGTGATGCAACAACAGGCAACAGTTGTATGTTTGCTCAAATGATAGAAACTATAGTATTTGTCCATGGGAAATGTATCTGCTTAAAAATTATCATGCTCCTTTAAGCGTGCCTTTTTGCTGGGTTTTTTTTTGGTCCTCACTGGCTACATTAAGTACTTTAATAGATTCCTGATAGTAAAGTAAAAACAGAGGGTTACTTACAGGTACTTTCATTTTAAACTCATCTTTGTTGAACTTGAAAGCAATGTCTGAGAGAGCTCGATGGAAAAATCCTGTTGGGCGCAGAACGAGGACTAGTTGCAGGTTTCCCGGAAAAGACGCCTGCAAAACAAGCTTAGTCTGTTATTTTCTGTGTCCTGGCTCCAGAAAATACTTTTGAACAAGTAGAAGCCCCTGTTAAACCACGAACTAACTGTATCAAAGGCCTCCTGTAATGGGGTTACCAATTATAAACTTTCAAGACTTGTACAGAGAGCTTCATTCAAACAGACATTTACTCTGCTTTGGGAATAGGAATCTATTCTCCTGTAATCAAAATTTTTGGGGCTAGCTTTTCAGGTAACATTACATCCTAGTCAAGGAGGCTAATGAACAAACAGTGGTGGATTAGTACTTTTTCAACAGCAGTACTCTAATGGTTACCTTATCTGCTCTTTCACAGGGGGTGCCAAGAGAAACCTCCATTATTGTCTGAATACCTAACAACACATATCTAACTTGCACATATACTACCTTGCCAGTTGCCTACACAAACCATTGCCACTGAGACTGAATTTTCTCAGACAACAGCTTAGAAATAAGCTTTAATTTTGCAGACAGAAATAAAAGCTGAATATAATAATTTTCAGCTGTAGTTTTTTCCTCATAATCTTCCAAACAGTAGTCTGATGGATCTTTCCCAGTTCTAGAAGTGATAGTGGGGGGAAGAAAAAAGAGGAGAAGGAAAGCAAAGAAATAGCATTAAATTACTAAAGATCAACATCTGCTATGGAAGAGGTTTGAATACTTGTCATTTAGTCATTCTTGAAATCATGCTAGTCTCCCCTCTTCAGTATTTCCACTTTGGAGAGACAGTAAAGCTCAATACAGAAATGGTCATTATATATAAGTATGCCCTTTTCTTCATTATACTGTTGGAAATTAATGTCACATTTCTAGCAAACTGAACTACAAAAAAAGAAGACAAAAAAAATCAACAAACATTTAGAAACCAAATACAGATTGAAGGAGCTGTTATGCTATGCTCCATTTCAATGCCTAGTGAAACTGTTAGTATCTGGCGGGTTGGACAGTGGTTTAATATTAATTTTGAGATTTCCAAGACTTCCAGGTATTTAGCACTGAAAATTACAAACTTTAAAAGAGAAAAGTAGTTAAAAAACTTTTCTGGAAGACTTCACTGTTGTTCCCCACATATTCAGTATACAACAGAGATCTCAATTTGATTGAGGAACCTTAAGCTTCACAATCTGCCTCCACTTTGGTGATGTCCAAAAGCATGGCGTTCAGTCCCAAAGGAGTCTATCTGAGGGCTGGGAAGAGAATCCAGGTAATTCCGAGTGCCCACACCAGCTCCTCATCCTTGCACTGTATTTTTCTCTGTTCTAAAAGTAGTACACCTGGTGGACTTACTAACCCACAGTTTTCAGATGAAAAACTTTTTCTAGAAAATTCCTACTGTGTACAGAAGAAAAAGTTAAGAAAAGATGTTTTTTACCATGTTTTAAAATTATTATATTGAGGGCAGATGCAAATTTATTTGAGAAAATTATTTAACTTGGAGGCATTGCAAGAATGGACAAAATATTTTTTTTTAATTAAACCTCCTGACTAAGCTTTTTAGAATGATAGCCATGTAGTCTATTCATTTCACACACTCAATAAGCATGTGTCAATCAGTTTTGTGCCTGTAACAGCATTGTTCAGAGTCTGAGCTGCTAATTTTCACCTCCAACTTCCAAAATGTGAAGTTTATTCAGTGGGAATGCTAACATTTCAGACAAAGAAGCTCCAAGAAGAAATATCTTTTAGATAACACATTTTCATATGAAATACCTACTCCACCACATGACATCCAGACATACTGTAGTTAGCAGCACATATTTGCAACCCATTTAGCCTTTACTCAGAATACTGGGAAATGTCTATGCTGTTAACTTCAAGTTGAGTAGATACATTAGAAACACACAATAGGATGCAATTATGAAGCATGAAAGACACCAAAAAGTAAATTTAAGTTACCACAAGATGACCAAAGGGCTGGAGAACCTGCATAGAGGACAGACTGAAGGAGTTAGGTCTCTTCTCCCTGAAGAACAGAAGGCTCAGGGGGAACCTCATCACAGCATTCCAGCTGCCACTTGAAGGGTGGCTATGAAGGGGACAGAGGCTCTCTCTTCACAAGGAGCCATGTGGAGAAGAGAAGGGGCAATGGGCACAAGTTGCACCAGGAGAGTTTTCATCTTGATATATAAGAAAGAAATTTTTTACAGTGAGAACATAATTCGCTGGAACAATCTCCCCAGGGCTGTGGTAGCCCCCATCAGTGGAGGTTTTCAAGATGAGACTGGATTGGGTACCGAGACCATCTCATTGAGGCTCCCTTTCCCCATGAAAGGTTGTGCCAGATGATCTTTCAAGGACACTCCCAAGCCAAGCTGTTACTCTGTGAGTCTGTGATATTTAGGCTATTATTGAAGCAAACAGTATTAGCCAAATGCAATGCAATAGTACATTTTTCTAAACTGTGTATTAGCTTTTATGAAATAGAGTTTAACTGCATGACCAAATTAAGTATGTTATCTCAGTGTTCAATTCAAAGAACAGAGAATACACATTACAATTATTCCTCAACTCAGTGTGTCTACCCAAAGCAATGTTATTTAAGTCAATACAGTTTTGTACCACTTTAACTCTCATTCAAGGCTTGCCAGAAGTTTTCCCTCTCTCAACAAAAGCTCAGAGCTTTTTTCTTCCCCCCTTTCACGCCATGCCCAAAAAAACTCAAGGCTTAAAAAAAATGATGCTTGTTATGGCTAGCAGTCAAATCTGCAAATTGATCTTTGTGAAACAACAAGAAAAGGGAGCATTGCTCCAGTAAACAATGTTGGACCTGTACCAGCTATTCCAGTGTATCTGCGCTTATATCTGCACTGCCCAAATATCACCATTTTCCTAACTTCCCCCCCTTCCAAAGCCCTGGTGACTTGCAGGGACAATTATATGATGCAAGACACACTCCTTAGATGTGTGTGAACTTCATTAACCAGTCAACTTCACCCTGAACACAAGAGAACAAACAAAAAATTCCAGTTCCAGTCCAGCAGCATATTTCTTTGAAGTCATTGTATGTTAAGCAGAGTGAACAATGACTTCTCAATAACGCTGTGCCAAATGTTAAGCATGCATGTTTAGTAGTGCCATAAAATGAAAGTGCCTTCAAGGACTGTTTAATGAAGTTAATGAACATCACTGAGGCTTGAAAAAGGGTTTGTGTGCTTGAAAACTTTTTTCCAAAAGTGTCTGTCTATTAGATTAATGTTAACTGCTCCCACAACATCTTGTCTCAAATATCGCAACTAAATTAATTTAATGCCTATGCAGAAGGAAATCAGGGGTCATGTTTTGTTATCCTCTATGAAAACTAGGGTAGCCCCTACTCTACTCTAGTGCAACCCGTATAATCCTTCATCTCACTTGCATTAACACTGGCACTTGTTCGATACTTCATGATAGTCATGGGATTAGTTTTCTATCTGATTATCCCCCTCACTTTCCCAGCCAGCCAGGCCAGTGCCAATTCCAAAGATACAGAAAAAGATGTAGATGTGCATGTAGATCTCAGCTTTGAAATAAATCTGTCCAAAATAGGAATTTATAGTCAAAATAGCTGTCCTATAAGTATGGGAAGAACCTTTGCTGGCTGGACAAAGCAGGAACTACCTTAAATACTCCAGGAAACCAGTTAATTAATACTCAGGAGCAGGCTGACCTGCCTGCTTTCAGGCCTCTGCTTCTCAGGATTGGGGAGCTTTCTACTGCATGCTCCAGGCTTCTGGAAAGGTGGAATACTAGACAGACTGAACCCAGCTGGGTTTTTGACAAAATGTAAAATTAAGTTAGATGCATATAATCTTAATTATCACTTTTCTTCACAGAATATTAATGGCAGAGAGGCTATCTGTAGCACTAGTACTGACCCTGAAGTTAAGCAGCTGCTAACGGGGTGGTAAGGAAAGGCAGGCCATCTCACATATGAAGATGACACGATGCCGAATGGCTGGTAAGGAACTGCAAAAGCTGAGCTGGAAACAACCCCTGCCTGATGGTCGGTAAGCTTATTTGCAGGGTAGGAGGGAAGGTATTTCAAAGACAGGTACTAAGAGTCTTCCTATCTTTGGTTTCCATTTTGTAATGTGGTCTTGCTCTGTTGGTGCCAACAGGGAGCTATTTAAGTCACCCAACAATTTTACCTGGACCAGTCAGGCAGAGCAGCAATTCCACATGCTTCTGCCTGAAAGCAATTGTATACAGCACATGCACTACAGGCTACTAGGCAGATGGCATTTTCAATGCAAGAATAAATCTCATTAAATCACACACTTTACGACAGTCACAATATTTACTAAGACAGTATGCAGCACTGCCAGGCTGCCACTCCCAGAAAGAGGCAGCACAGAGCAGAGCAGTGGCTGGGGTCTACAACCAGAAGTTAGTCACTAAAGCTTTCAGTAGGGAATACACAAAGGTAAGCTTTGGGAAAGAAAGCCAACACTTCTGAGTTTTCATATCTCATGTATGCTATGCCCTCCTAAGGCTTATTTAGTATACAAAGGAATTATGTGTATAGGTATGTATACCTTTTAGACAGAGATGTACTTAAAATAAAGTTGCTGTCTGCTGTTGAATCCCACAGAGCAATTCACTCAGCTGCCCCGGTGCTCAAGAAGTCTTTTATACTCCTACACAGCAAAAGAAAGTTGTTCTGATAAACAGTGAACCAACAAGACCTTTTCTTCCACGTTCCAGGTAAACATCTTTCAGAACTATCTGAACCATGTGAGCCATCAAAGAGCTAATGCCTGACTCAGGTTTAGTTGGTCTGTCTTAAAATACCTGGAGCAACACTACTTTTCATTTTATGAAGAGCTTCAACATACTCACACTACCAAACTCTGCGGTGGTGTTTTCCCTTCTGTACTTAACTAGTATGCCACAAGCCACAGGACACTTCTTTCCAAAACACCTCTGTATATAAAGGAGCTAAAAAGTGCCCCCACCCTTTTTTCTTTTTGTCAAGACTGTTTATTCCTGGCTAGAATGAAGTCTTTGAAACAAGCATCTTGTCAAGAAAGAATCTTGAATTAAATCAATTCATAGAAGCAGCAGTTTGAAATCTAAAAAGTTTAAAAACATTGATCTGTTTTGCATTAGATCTGGGTTTAATGTTTGTGATGTTATGATCCTGTTCTCAGACCTTAAGTGAACCACTTCTCTCTTTTTACATATTAAAACGCTATATAATAAAAAGAAAAATGGCTGACTTCACAAGGATAAGTCCAAAGTGCCTGCATGTGTAATATTCTCAAAACATCCAAAGCAGTAAGACAAAACCATACAGCATCTCAAAATAACCTTTTATTTTATCATTAACTGAAATCATTCATAACAATAACCACAATATTAATACAAATACTAACTTCATCATACTGTCAAGCTCTTCTTGTGAATCCAAGTAAAAATAAGAAATGTCAGTAGGGGCTGAAAGACCACCAGTTTTTTCAAACTTAACCGATATGAATTAAGTTTCATTACTGAACATGATTCAAAGAGCTAGCTAGAAATTGGGCTAGTGGGAAATACTTATCCATAACATAACATAAAATAGTGCCTTTCACAGACCATCACTTACTAGAAGCATCTTTTCTCCAACAACAACTCACTAAGAAACTCAAAATCTCTCTACAAAGCCAAAGAACTCAAGGTTGGATTACTGTAATTCGCTGTTTCTCACCTTGGATGTAAAAACAACTCCAGACGGCACAAACCTGGGACTGCCTGGCTCCTGCAAGGTTTAGGCTGGTATTAGCACTGCAGTCTCTCCACTGGCTTTTGGTCTTCTCCTGCCAGCTAAAGGTCTTGGCCCTATTCTTCAAAGCCATTAATGGGCTAAGCCTCTGTTACAGTGAAGACTGCATTTTGATTTATGAAAAGCTAAGAAAAAACAGTGTTCTGGACAATGCAGTCTAAAACAGAAGGCATGAAACCTGCATGCAATACATCGTTAGTCAAAAATAGCAAATCACAAAGCAAACTTCTCCAGGAGGTTGAATAAAACCCAACTCTTGTCATATTTAGAAATGGCAGCAAAGTTTGTGACTGAATAAAACTTTCTCACTACCGCCTGAGCGACCTCCATATCAACTGCTTCCTCAACAGCAGTTGCCCAACATATGTTATTCCCTAAACACCAAGTTTAAGGACGTTTATTTTCTCTGGATTTTCAGTATGAGGCTGATGGCTATGGTGGAACTTTTAATGATGTTGAGCAGAGTTTTTTGTTTGTCTGAAAGACAGAGTTCACACTTCAACCTTTCAAGATAGAGGAAGACAATGACAGGACTAGAGAGACAAAGATGATGTAATGACATAAGCTTCAGTTTTTTAAGAAAACACACTGGAACTACTAACAGAGCAGCACTCTTTTTCACATCCCAGGAAAAGAGGTGCCATCTTTCAGCCCAGTGCCTCTGGCTTTGGTTTCAGTTCTGCTGTCAGTGCATGTGCTTCAGCAGCAATCCTCCTGAGTGAATGGTGCAGCCACTGCCCTTCCACTGTGTCTGCAAAAATAGCTTTACCTCTGTCTTTACAGCCTTGACTGTCTATAGCAACCTTAAAGTATCACCATGAAATACAGATTCAGCTCATCATTGTTCTTTTTTGGTTCCAGGAAAGAAAATAATCCCTAACAAAAAGGGGAAAAAATGAAGCCTAGAAAATTTTCATACTATAGAAGTATCTGAAGGGGGCCTACAAGGATGCTGGGGAGGGACTCTTCATTAGGGACTGTAGTGGTAGGGGCAGGGGGAATGACTTTAAACTTAAACAGGGGAAGTTCAGGTTAGATATAAGGAAGAAGTTCTTCACAGTGAGGGTGGTGAGGCACTGGAATAGGTTGCCCAAGGAAGTTGTGAATGCTCCAACCCTGGAGGAGTTCAAGGCCAGGCTGGACAGAGCCTTGGGCAACATAGTTTAGTGTGTGGTGTCCGTGCTCATGGCAGGGAGGTTGGAACTAGACAATCTTAAGGTCCTTTCCAACCCTAACTATTCTATGATTCTATGATTTTCCACATTAATTTCAGCCTGAAAAAAAATTTTCTTCATCATTTTTGCTTCAAAACGTACTTCCAACACCCATGAATACAAACCAAACAATTCTGTGTGAAGAGAACTGAAAATAACTCAAAATAATAATACCAAAAAAATATATGCTAGTATGAATTTCTGGTTAGCAGCTGCTCAGTGCTTACAAATGTATTTCCTACACTTGTCAGGATATTAGTGATGGCCAGTTGCTCCAGCCACAGCACCCCACACTGGCATCTCTGATTTCACAAATCAAGAGGGTCAACCCCCTCAGGATGATTAGAGAAAAGTCAGGAAAGACAACAGGGAGGATGCTGCAGGAACTACAACAAATGAGGCAACAGCCAAAACTCTCAAATAATGAGACAAATCCTCACACACAGCACTAAGCTGTAGCAATCAAAATTGCTTGGGATACCAGCCTTTCAGATATACGTTTCTATCTAGACAACCCAAATGACACTCAGATGCTTCAACACTGCCAAAAGACAACTCTGACTGTTAGAAAAAACAAACAACTAGAAATTAAGCTTCCAGTTACCCTTGAGCCATTTTAAAAAAAATCTTTATCCATCAACAGGACCCGGAGAAATCCTCATGACTGGCCCAAGGTGTGCACTGTGTATATTTGGCTTTGTTTTTTTTAAGGAACAGACACAGCAGAAATGTATTTTGAGTTCATTTATGGTAAAGATTATAGCAAATGGTGGACAACAGCAAACTGTTTTTCACCAGATCTTTTTTTGGAATAGGAAAATAAAATTTTCAAATGATCAAGGATGCTGAAGCCCAAAAGCAGGGCTGCCACCCACATCCACACATGAAATACAAAGCCAAAGCTGAGGCAGCTCAACAAAAGAAACAAATATAAAAAGATCATGCCTCTAACAGATTAGACTTCAACTAAGAAGCATGATCTTTTATTTTAAATAAAGCTCACAGAAGAATAAGAAAAGAAGAAAAAAGGAAAGTAACCCACCATCAACAGCACTGCAACCAGCAGCACTCCCTGAACTTAACACCCTTCTCCAGGCAAAGCACTTAGGCACCAATGCCATCACTCCAGTGATGGGTCCCTTATCAAAGGGAATAGATACTCAGGTTCTGTATATCGTGCTTCTAGGCAAAATAATGCACACTGAAGGAACATTACCATTAACATTGATATTACAGCTATAAGCAACATGTCTGTAATTGCCTCCCACCTGCTACCACCCCAATTATATAAATAAACGGACTGCCATCTGTGGAATACTTATTTGTCCTTGAACAGAAACTACAGCACTGAGTTTTTAAAGAGATTCAAAAACTCCAGAGATACAGGACTTTTTCTTTAATCACCCCAAATTATGCTGCTCTGGGTTTCCACTACTGGAATCATCTCAAAGCTGCATCACAAAATTTCAAAATGAACTGCAAAATCAAATTTTGCCAATATTCTGGTATATTTTCAATATTTTAATGTTCCTAACACACTTGTCATGGAACAAGTCGTATTGTGGGAATATTTTATCATTACATATGCATTCATAAAAAGTCATATAGTGGGAGTAATGTATTACCTTTAATAAATACCTTTTAACTTATAATGAACAGCTAGTTCTTTGGTCAGAATGGGGCTACACAAAAAATGACATTCACTGTTTTGATTTCACTTCTATCTTACAGAGCCAAATTTTATTAGCCATTAGAAGTTAAAGAAAAGATGCTTACAGCTCTGTTTTTCAGCACTTACTGGAAAGATTATAAGCACTAACAATACAAGCAAGGATAACATGAAAACAAACAAAGTAAACCAACAGTAGGATAAGTGCATCATAAACATGAATCTGTCTTTTTCTACGTGTGTAAATAAAAAAAGCCTCTAAAGCTTTTTTTTTCAGATTTTAAAAACATTAATTAGAAGTGGGACTGAAAGTTACTGTGTGCTGTTGATGGATCAAGTAGGTATATAATATTTTCCTGTTTACAAGCAACCCCTATTTTAATTTGGACATCACAAGTCCTTTCACAAGCAGCAAAGTAAGTCAGAATCCTTATTCTCATCTCTTTCTGTATGGGAAGCTCACTGGAATAGTGAAAGGTAGACTCATGGGCTGTCCATGCAAATATTGGTCCCTACCTGGGAAAGCAGCACACCACATGCACGCACACACACACACACACACATGCGTGCACACACCCTCCCCAAGTGCCATCTCAGGAAAATGTCCTGAGCTGCAAACTGCATTAAAAGCACATCATAGACACATGATGCTTGGTTCCAGTCAGCTGGGATGCAAAAGAACTACTGGATACTTTTTGTGCCATCTATTGGCTACTGTTCTTTTGAAGAAATTGGCTGGTTTTGCACTCTAAGAGGAAGGTTCAACACTAAAAAAATCTGTTGAAGGAGTTAATCTAAAACAGTACTCACAGTTATACGCAGAATGGAAGCTTTCACGGAGGTCCATTTGTCCTGTCTGCGATCTATGACAAGAATAAATCCAATCCCAGCATCTTGTAAACTAAGTTTGGAGGAGGAAAGAAGAAAAAGAGAAAGTTGAGTTAAAATACAAGTGGAATTCCTCTGGTTCTCTGGCTCAAAAAGGCAGCATGACCCAGGCATGACCTTTTTGTGCAGAATCTTCTTCATCCAAGCATCTTAAGTAAAGATACACTGCACACCTTTGGAAAGATGCAGCAGTCCCAAGTATGTTCCACAGAGCTTCAAACCATAATCAAATCAGGAATTCTTTTTCATGAAAGGTAGTTTTTACCTTTCTTGTACAGGGATTATTTCAGAGTAAAATAAAACCCTTTGATTCTCCATTGTTTTGGTGGTGATATAATCCCTCCTTCATGCTGTTTTCAGTATAATTTCAATATCAAAATGAAGTTGTTTTCCTTTTGCATCTGCTTTTAACCTTCCGTTTGAATTGTCTTCCTCCTCACTGATATTTAAAACCCCTTAAAAATGCAGAACCTTCTGATCATTTCATGATACTGCTCTCCGCACCCGGAATTCTCATATGCCTCCAGGTTGCAAACTTGTTCCCAGGTGCATTTTTACATTCACCAAAACAAAAAATCCCTATAGCAGTTAAACAGTCCAAGTCATAGATGAGAAGAATGCGATCAGATGCACTTCTCTGGAATGGAAACATCTGTGAGAGAGATTCTGCTCAAATCCTTGTGTACGGGTGACCTTTCTTTTTCGCCTGTGCTCAGCTGCATGTGCTACTAAGTCCCAGTCCAGGGATCTGCTCCTGTTTTGTAATTCTCCATCTAAGCCAATTGTGCAATGCCAGCAGCAGCCCTTGCCAGCCAATCGCAATCAAAATGGAAACGACAGGCAAATACGAGGCAGACAGGCTCGGATTTGTAATTTTCTCATATATTGGGTCATTTTTAATAGATGTGCTGTATTTTCAGTCCAGATAATAATTTACTGCAAGGCCTGCTGTATGCACTGTGTGTCATTTACAAATATTGTGCACTGATCTGTTATTGTCATACCTTAAAAGACAATATAAAAACCAACACAACAGAATGTCAGGATCCCTTATTCAAGATTGCCAAATCATGAAAACACCAGCTTTGCTTTACTAGATTATGTCGGCAGCATAACAGTATGATGTCGAGGAGGATGAAGAACACAGGTACCCAGATGTGTCACCTTAAGCTACTCTGCAAAATCACAAATTTAAACATGATTCACATTCTATCCACTCTCTTTTGCAAACTAATCTCTCTGAAATTTACAGACTAAATATTTCAGGGGAAACATGAATAACCATAAAAAATGCAAACAAACACTGTCTTTCAAAAGAAGGCAAGCAGTCATTTTGACATAAGAAAATACTAGAACCAACCCCTCACTGCCCACATTCAGTGCACATTACTTAACTCTTGCCTCTGGGTTAGGACAACACTGACAATAACATCTGAGTAGTTGCTTTGTAAGTCTGAATAACCTTTGCAGACAAACTAGGCTTTATATTAGCAATATGCTTGCCACTACTGTAAGTTTCCATTATTTTCTACAGTCTCCCCCCTTCCTACTGTTTCTTTATTTGAAGGGCAAGAGGAGGAAAGAGATCCAGATCGATTTTAGCCTCTTCCTGTTCCCCATTTAAATGTTCCCACCATTTTAACCTTTACTGATTCCCACCATTTTAACCTTTACTGACTGAGCAAAATCAAATGCTAATAGCAATCATGTTGCATAAAAATCAGGTACCAAAACAAACTCCTTGGGACACACAGCCTAAACATGGATAAATGGAGTCAAAAGGTGCTACAGCTGCTCCCACAGCAGTTCATGTGGATTTTGAAGAGTATTCTGGTGAGTATTCAGACTCTTAAAGAGCTATTTCCCCTGCTCAGTAGAAGTCCCTGGGAGTCCTGGAATTTCTGCATACTTCCTCTGTGGAAGCATCATCTCAGATCCCATAAAGTACCTAACTGCAACATCTGTATCGTATTTCAAGAAACTGTTGACATTTCTGCATAACAGGAATAAAACTAAAGCCTCTGACAGAGCAATCGATCAGATTTCTCTCCAGGAGCACAGGGAAAGACAGGCTCAGCTGGGATTCTAGGGAAAATCTAGATGGTAGCTCCACACAATTGTCTGCCTCGACACCTGGCAATAAGCAGAGCTTAATATCATTCTAGGAAAAAAACCACCAACACAAACCAACCAAACAAGGCTTTCTTAAATGGAAGAGTTGGCAAAAGAAAGCACATCTCTAAGGCAGCCCAAAATATATCTTTAGCTATCCTCCTTTTTCTACCAGATCAAATATGTTAGGTGGTTTCATTATTGAGACTGTGGCCCTCATTCAGGCTCAGACATAAAAGCCAAGATTCTCCATTGCTGGCTAGAAGAGACCCAGTGGCAAACTCTTGAGCACCTGACTTCAAACTGTTAAAACTCCATTAATGTAGATTGCTTTACAGAAAAATTTAAAAATGCTTTGTTTTGAACATGGTGGGAAAAATGTTATCTTGACAACAGTGTCTAGTTGTGAAGGCCTGGCTTTGGAGTCTGGGATCCAGCTCCAGCAAGTCCTACACAGGAAGCAACAAACCAAGCTAAGACATTGTGTACAACAAAGTTGAGAACATTATGAAGACAACAAAGTCACGTATTCATGAAAAGTAAATATTGGAAACAGGTTTGTTTGCCAGTACACCCTTGGCTCTACTGACCTCCCCTTGCTGCCACACACACCTGCATATGTAGTTACAAGACTGTTTGCAAAACCCCCCTCTCTTTTAGGGCACAGGATGAATAATGCTTTGGTAACAAGAAGCTATTAAATTTTCCTTTGGCTCCTGATTTAACTCTGAATGCCACCTGCCTTTTTTTTTTCTATCCAAACACTGATTCCCCCCCCACCACCTTTCACTTGAGAGCAAAGCATTTCTGCTTCTGCTCTGTCTCAGCAGAAGCATGCTCTGATGGATATGGCCCGTCCTGCTCATCAGGCTTTAGCCCCTGCCTTGCTCCAGTTGCATTGCACTCATCAGCTTAGCCCAGGTCTTCTGCCTCTGTATCACGCTCCAACAGACTTCTCACCACTACCCACATTTGTTTCTCCCATTCTCCCCTTCAACCATTTTCATTCCTTGCTGCCTTACCCCAAGAACATCCCAGTCTTGGAGCTTATTTTTTTTATTTAAAATACTGTCAGAAGAAATGACCAAATGGGTTCTCACCCTACCCCTTCCTGAATATCACAGCCCCCTTATCCTCCAACCCAAGTCTCCCTCGCCCTACTTCTTCCTGCTTGATCTTTCAGTATCTTCCCTGCGGTGGGCACTTCTTTTGGCTGTGGTCTTGCCTGTTGAGTCAGGCAGTTTGCCTGCACTGCCTGCTTGTTAACAGGTGGCACTCGCATCCCATCACAGTCTTCCTGCTCTCAGCCCTGGTAGTAAACCTGGCTCTAGAGCAACTCATTCAGCAATCACAGAGAAGCCCCTGCCCAGCTCCAGGATGAAGCTGGTCTTTTTTGACAACAAACTTGAGTAGCTACTTAGCATCCATGACCTGGGATTTAGGCAGATTTTTCTGAAGGTATCTGCTTGACACAAAGGCCATCATTCTTTTAAGTGTCAAGTTCAAGTCCTTGACCAAAGGATGGAAGCACTTAAAAGGCTGTTTCAGTGTTTGAAAAGCACAGTGGGTATGTCCCCTTTCTTGGGAACAACTCAGCTATTTTGGCCGAACTTTAAACCAAAAACTCAGGTGAGACCTCACAAATGGAAAGAAAATTTGGCAGAGTTGTAAACAACTGGAAAGCAACAGTGAGAAACAGCAGACAACCTTAGCAGAACAAACTGCCTATTGAGGCTCCTTGACACTTCCCGTACAACCTCTGTTTTCTTTAATGCATTAACTTGTATCCGGTGTACTTTCTGAAACATAATTTATATAAGCTTGTAATTCAAACTTAGTATTTCCTTCCTTTGTTTCCGTCCTATCACACACAAAAATCCCCCATCATGGGATAAGCTCTGTTCTTCTGTTTACTTACCAGCACAAAGAACAGAACATTTTTAGAAAGGCAGAGAAACCCTTCCTGCTCTGCAGGAAATATATCTGGCAAACTCACAAAGGCCAGGTCAGAAAGGTAGAGAGCAGTGGAAGAGGACCAGGGGCCACAGAGGACAGGAGAAAATGCAGCAATGATAGACTTTCTGCTCAGTCCTCTCCTTCTGCCTTTGAGAGCCAATGTAACACCATTTGGAGAAAATAAGAGCGTGAGGTTGAAGTACCTGCAAAACAAGCACCAAGTTCTCCAGGTAGACTGTAGAGCAGGAACTGAATTTTCCTCTTAGTGACTCCTCAGCATTTGATTATGGAGACATCTCCCTCTTTGTCTTATTTGTAAGACTTATGAGCTCATGCACCTGGGGGAAAGGGTGGGAAAGCTTATAGGCCTGCAGAAAGAAACTTCCCTCTGGGGTGTGTGGAAGCAATTACATAGTCATCATCTGAAAGATCCTTGCTGTTCTCCAAGGTATGGGTGCGACAACTGCTACACAAGTAAGTTCCCATTGCTTCTACACTGCTGTATGGAAACTGCTCATGTACCACAAACAAAGCAAAAGCAATTCCTCAGGTTCATCACACAGAATTGATAGTATAAAACTTTTGCATGTTTGAAATTCTGTGCAACATTTTAGGTTAAATAATCCCATCTTAATAAAAGTGAATTTCAGTCTTAAAGCATTATTATTATACAGTTGGTTGGCATTCCACTCAAGATTGTTCCCTACCTTGACTACCTCTGTGTATACATACAAACTGACTAGAAAGTCTTGTTCTCAACAGCTGAACAGCTATTTTGATAGTAGGACTTCAGTAACATTCAGTGAAGAATTACTACATTGAGCAGAGCACCAAGGCAGTGTCTGCAGTGATCAGCATTACAAGCAGCTGAAGCTGTCTTTAGATCCCTGGTACTACTCATTCGTAAAGCTTACTTGCCCTCTGTAGCTCATCATTGACCATCAATGTGCATCAGTGAC